AATCTCAAAAGTTGCCAAATTGGAACAGATTAAATAGACAAACAACGGCGATGTTACTATGCCATGGCACACAAGAGAAAAGGTCATAATCGTGTCGACTACCAACCAAACCCGATCGGCCAAATCGACAAAGGCGACTCCAGACAGAAATTCGGCAGCATGCCTCGTGATCTCGACGCCACCGGGATGATGCATCTCTGCATGTAACCGGTGAACGGCCTCCGCATACTGGCAGTTGGTCGGAGTCCTGGGGCTACTTGGTCCGCTTCCATTGATGGCTTGCATTTCGCCGCCCATATTTGGTATTGCTAGTTTAGATACATAAAACGGTAAGTGTTGATTTATTAGACTAATTTTGGGTTTTAGGAACTGTGTTTTAATGAAGAAGATATATCCATAGTATTCATAAAGTTACATACTAAATATGATAAGATGGAGAATTTATAGGACTTTAAAAGATGGGCAATTGTGTTATGCGTGTGTGTGTGTGTCTTTGATGGGGATTTATTGAGGGCTAATTACTTTATCCTCTCTAGCCGACATGCCATTCCCCATCCCCCTGTTTTTTTTCATATAAACTGGTGCCTCAATCAGGACCTCCACTTCACAGCTTCTCTTAGCTGGCTCCGCTTAGTGATGTATCCACAATCGGTTTCTTTAACAAGAATTTGGTAAGCTTAGGTCAATTAGGCTAATTTAAGGAATGGTAGTGGCAATTTCTTACAATCCTATCATGTCAAACTTGATTTCAAAAGTATCACTAGTGCTGGAGGAAGCTGTCCTACATGCATTATCATGTCTTTATTATGCATATGGAGAAGACAGTAAGCCAGTTAGCCAAGTTACCGATTTGTTATGAATAGGATTGAAAGTATTAGTTAGTCTTAAATGCAATCTTAGTCATCCTAAGTCGCTCAAGGTTATTTAAGAACTGCTAGTGGAGTGTTTCCCAGAAGCATATGAATAGGCCTCAAACTATCAGTAAATTTAACTTAGCCTTGACCCCCAAAATTTTTTATCTTTCAAGGTGGACCAAAGTTTTGACCCCATCTGTATCTCATCACTATCCCTAAAGGATTGAAAAGTTGGTCGTCAGTATTTTGATGACACACTACGAATCCACTACATATCCAGTTAATCATAGGACAGATGTGATTTTAAAGGAAAATCAGTAACTTCCAAGATCACAATGATAGTTGAATTTTTGATATGATAAACATATAATTTCAAGTTGAATTGATGAAGTTGTCTTTTTTCTAGGCGTGCTCTCTTTTATTTATAATTTTGAAGCATACAAATATTGGAAATAAGTAGCAGCTTCGAATTCAATGGCAAATGTGTGTTTGCTTAATCGAAAATCACACAATAAATGTAATTTTGGAGAAGCCTGTCCTCGCTTAAAAACCACTCCTGATATAGGAACCACTGGAACCAGTGGTTATCTAGCGAAGTGGTAACATGTCTTCAAGATAGTCACGACCCACCTTCTAATGCTGTTGGAGATGGTGATGAGATCTATGCGAGGTCAAGACATCGGTCCATCCTGAAAGATAATATTTTGAGAATCAAAGCTAAGTGAAATTCACTGATAGTGTGAGGCCTATTAATATGATTGTGGAAAACACTCCACTGCCAGTTTTTAAATAGCGTTGAGCGAACTGGAATGACCACGTAGGTATGTAGAAAAACTGGGTTTCGATGAAGAGGCTGTATTAGGCTCGATTATAGTTTTGATTCTGACATCACTCTCATTTCAAGAACAAGGCATTCACACAAAACGTGCACAATAGAAAGCAATCACATGCGGTAATATTGCATGATCTAAAGTATAAGTGTTTTAGAGGAGGATCCAACTGTTCGGTCACAATTGCATCCGTTTGACGCTTCATCCGCAGCTACTTAACTTTACTTTTGAAGAAGCATTTAGGTCAAGCATAGGATGCCCAAGTAGGTCTGAAGCCGGCCACCTTTCTTGCCTTCGTGTTTCTGGTAAATTATCGTTAAGCATTGTGTCCTGCTCTGACGATGTCCGTCACATGACGCACGAAGGGTCTCCAAGGATTCATCGCCGAGGACCTATTAGAACATCTACAATCACAGCTCCAAGGCAATCCTCCTACAGCTTACGGTGAGACCACTCGCCTATTCAAACATAATGAAAGTTACTCCAACATCAAAAGAATGACAAAGTTTGTATTCGATGATAAATGATACTTTCGCAGCCTATTTACATAGAAGATCAGTATTTTATCGAGCTGGCTAAATGCCTTCCCTGTACTTATTATACACGAGGGCTTATTTGCGTGATCAGCCACGTTTTCATACTCTAGTGGTGTTTTCGCGGAGGCTTCAAACAACTCAACCCTACTGAGTACATTGCCACAACTTAGCCGGCATCCAAGTCGGCGTCTTCAGTTAGAAGCGCCATCCTTAGCCCTGTGCTACACCTCGTCAGGTAACCAAGTAAAAACAGTCTTTTCTTGTGGATATAAAGACAAAAACGTTGTGGCCTCTATTTTTGTCACAGTCTCCTATCGATGCATAAAAAGTGGTCTGACCTCGTTTTCGCAACTTGGTCGTATTGTCAGGGCGACTAAGTTGGATGCACCTTGTCCGAATTCCTCTACTAAAGTAGGTATCATAATTCTTAGCACCGGGCTGTGGACTGTGTACATTCCCAGAAGTTTCGCCAGCACTTCTCGTCTTGCCATTCTCAGAACCAAGCTACAACTCGTTAGAGGGACAAGACATAAGAAAAGCAATCACAATTGTTTAGCGAACAGCTGATCAAGGGATCGACTTCACTGAGAATGGCAAAACTAATTGACGATGTCGACGAAATGTCTGGGAATGTATCCAGTCAACGGTCCGATAACTACAATATCAGAGGACTTCGGACACGATGCGCAAACTAAGTCACTCATACGACACGACCAAGTTGTGAAAGTGAGGTCAGACCACTTCTATCCATCAAAAGGAGACTGTGACAAATATGGAGGCCACAATAACTTGATCTTCATATCCACAATCATTTCTTGTCCAAATATCTCTTCATAGATTGAGGTATTTCCCTTATCTACTTTAATGTCACATGGGCTTTCTCATTGCGCTGAATACTCATCCCGTTTTAGTTAACCAATTTTCCTATCTACTCCCCATTTTATCGGCATTAATCATGAAAATCAAGAATTCGGGAGACTTCTTCGGCAAAACTAACATACCTTAGCTGACAGACATATGCATTTTTCACTATTGATGATCACATCACACCAATCTTGGGCACTGTGTAGCTTTTGTGAATTTTTCGTGTGTGTGCCTTAATGAAAGATGCTTGGTGATAGGCTTGAACACAACGGATACCAACAAGCACGCACATGAACAGCATTCAAGTACTCTAGGATTATATGGGACTGTCAACTTGAATGACGAGAGGAGTGTGCTTTCCGCTATTCGGGAAGGGAACGAAGGAATCGGTGCATTTTCACACCAGCGGCTATGATATAAGTCAGACACAATGCCTCAAATAATGAGATACAATTTGGGTGGGGATGAGAAATAGGATAACTGAGTCATGGGTTTTAAGTTGAGAGATAGGAATATGTCGTAATCGGGGACGAGAATTAAAGGCTCTTAGGTAGCCAGATTGCGGACAATCATTTACTGATTTAGTGCTAGTCTCGAAACTCTGTTTATAAACGAAAAATAAGTGATTTTGATGTCTGTTAACGACTAATTGACAAACGTGGTGGGAAAAGGGAGGCTGAATGAGGATCAACAGCCGTGCAAACGGCACATGGTGCCGGTGCTGGAGATGATTACGCTTCAATAAACCAACTTGTAGCGATACAATCTTGGGCGACATTGGAGAAAACGAAAGTACAGAACTGTTTGAATAGGTGGAATGGTCATATGAAGTGGGATTGAGAGAAGAAGATGCAGCACTAGAAGGTCGAACGAGGAATAGGGACGAGGAGTGATACCACAACGGTTGAATAGAAAATTGTTCAAAGGAGTGCCTTCACTTGTCACTTTAATAAGTTGTTACTCTGTGATAAAAATGACACCTCACTGATGATGCCAACAAAATGTCTGAGAATGCACCAAGTCACTGCTCCTATACTGGAAATCATCATAAATAGTATGACATAGGACACACGCAAGGTCTCCTCGACGCTCTGACCAACTTTCGCAAACGAGGTGAAAGCAACACTATAAAGCTAGAGGAGACTGAGACCAAACAGGCCACACCACCTTGATTTTCATATCTACGATTGCATAGCAAAGTCAAAAATTTGACAGATCTATGTCAAGCTATTCGCACACATACAT